TAAACACCATTCACACAGTAGTGAACACATCTGTCCTTGGTGCTGAACGCCATCCACAATCACTGTCTTCCCTATCAAAACTGCTCACAACCTTTCACGCATTTAGATTTACATGTATTTTACTTTCTTTTCAGATACCTTGAAATGGGCCGTGGAAGTGATTATGTTGTTTTCTACCACCGACTTGGGATTCCTTCAGTCGATCTGATGTTTGTTCAAAATCGTGTGAGTACTCAGTTAATAACACAATGTACATATTGGCATGGGAAACAGGGCAGTTGGAAGTGTTTGATTGCATTGATTGCAATGTTTTAATCATTACCAATGTCCAGTGTTCTGTAACCTCACTCACCTAGTGTTGGACATGTTTAATATGTACTCAGTTGATTTGTTCAGTGAGCAGCTTCTTTGGTAAGGGAAGTCCTCTAGCAAGTTGTAGTATTTATTATCTTCTAAGGCCTACCATAAATGTTGTGTTTCTGTTTTCCCAACAGACCCGTGCAAAACCAGATGCATTTCAGTTTTACTTTATTATGTTTACCAAATGAAAACATATTGTTTTTATTCCGTTACTTCTTCTTCTTCTCCAAACAGTGACCTCTGACCTGACCAATGATATGATTTGTAGACGTCTGTCACCATGGTGACTGGTGTTGGGTTACATAATGTTGCAATTTCATGGTCTGCTCTATCTACTCCTGTCACCATATACTAGTATGACATGTATGTGAATGTGTTTGAGTAAAAATTAACAGAGCAGACCATGTCCGAAGGTAAACATTATGCATTTGCTTTGCAAATGTTACTTCTCTAGTTGTTCAACTGTATTTCTTGGATCAGTTCAGGCGAAACTAAAAAAAAGACAATCCCAACCTACCAACCCTATGTTTTATACATTTGTAGGACTGTAATCAGAAACACAACAAGTATTTCCTAAAGTATGTTTCTGTTCGCAAACACTGAAAATGTTGAATGTATACTCAGGAAAAGCCGGGTGTCGTGCCGGTGCCTATCTACCCAGCCTACCACACCGCCTTTGATACTTTTGACTACGTCAAGCGGTTTGTCGACCCGGACTTCAAGGCGCACCAGGCCGTGGCTCGGGTTGCCATAGAAACAGTGCGCCGCCTGGCGGATTCCCTCATCCTGCCATTTGACCTCCTGGCGTTTGCGGACAAACTACAGGCCTATCTGACAGGCGTGCGGCTAGAACACGGGGAGATACTGACAGCGCAGGGGGTTTCCCTTGGTAAGATCCCATGTACACAAGTAAACTCATAAGCAACCAAGTAACAGTGCACTGTGAACCATGTAACACCTTCAGTGCACTATGCACCAAGTAACATCTAGCGTCAGTGCACAGAAAACCAGTCAGAATTGCCCTGATGAAGATGACAGACGGTCATCGAAACAACGGCTCGTAAAAATAAATGGTTGTGATCAAAGGACATTGCTATTCATTCTTTTACCAACCTGATGAAATTATTTACGGATGATGAGCAACCAGGAATTATTGGCATAGGTCATCGAAAGATAACTGATATCATGGAATTATCTTCGAGAGATCATTGGAAGACCTTGTAGATTAATTAATGAGCACTCAATGAGAGTATTGAGAAATTTAATCAAGTTAGTATTATTGTATTTGTTCAACATCATCTTTGACTTTGTAGTTTTTATTCTATACACAGCTACTGTATCATCTTAGTACAAATGTATTTCTCGTGTTCTTGTGAAATAATAATAAGGGGATATGATTTTTTAATCATTTTCTTCTTTTCTGACAGACTATCTTGAATCAGCAGTCACCAACTTCACATCTGCTGCAGTGAGGTTGGACAGGAAGATTGTGGATGTTAACAAACTGAAGTAAGTCACATTTGTAGCCTTTGAGAGAGATTGTGTAACACAAGCTACTGAAGAGGAGTTATGACTACGGTATCATTCAAAACATCAGCATTTAAAAAGACAGTTACAACAACATTTAGAAATACAGTTCTAAGTCAAAGGTTATTTTGTGAATATATCATTTACTTGTCTCTTCTCTACAGCCCACTGGAAGTCCGTGCTCTGAATGACAAGTTACTGTACCTGGAGCGAGCGTTCATCGACCCACTAGGTTTGCCAGGACCACCCTTCATCTGGTATGATTATGTAACATTAAAGCATTTCTGTTTGTTTTGCATACCTGGTAACTGCCTCAAAGCATAACTCACCATTTTGGTGCAGTAGAGTCAATTCCATTCTTATGCATTAGGCTACACCAATTTAATTTCTTGGTTAACGGATTTTTCTAGAAAAATAATAGAGTGGGCAGGCCAAAAATAAAAACAGGCCTAGGCATCCTATTATGGCCCAAAATGGTACGATAGGAGCCATGAAGTCAACACACCAGGCTGGTTCCAAATTTAAGCAATGAATTTTGAACTTTTAATTATACCACTGCATTGAAAGATGGAATAACTGTAACAACTAGGAAGAAAAGGACTGTTTTCAACTGTTCAGGGCAAAATATGAACATTTTGCAGTTGATTTTGAATTTTTTTTTTTGCAAATCACAATCATGACTATGTTCCAGGCATGTTGCGGCTGGATTCAGTGAATTCAACTTCTCCTCTACCGCCTTCCCAGCCTTACGGACGCCATCCTTAATGATGGCATTATGAATTCTGTCCAGCGATTGGATGCCATCAACAAACGCCTGTCAGTCATAACTTTCGTCATCCAATCAGCAGCCAGCATACTAAAAGAAGCTGGTTTGGAGGAATAGTTTATATGCTCTGCTATATGAACGTCGTAGGTCTAACATCTACAAATTTGTTCCTGATTAGTTCCTGCACTAGTTACACATGTAGTATAGACTGTATTAGAATGTTCTCTAGTGGGTTTCAGTGACCATCTGTCACCTTCTTCAGGGCAACAATGACTTGTTCTGATTTGTACTGCAGCTAGATGTCACTGATGCAGTTTTACTATTGCAGCTAGATGTAGTGTTGTCACATAATACTAAAGTATAAAGTCTATAAGTAAAGTACCTTCTATAGTATCTTGCCAACCTGATAAAATCAAAATTATTCATGGATAATGGCAAGAGTTTTGCCACTTTCTATTCCATTTCTGAATTCAAGTTTCAAAAAACTGAGTTCAAGTTCTTTATTGTGCACAATGCTTGAAATGTACAAGGCATACATGTGAATTCGAAGGTGTACATGCACATAATAATGAATTCAAAGTCCAGGTTACATATATGATTCATTGAATACTGAAATACATGTGTATATAGTCTGATAATTAATTACAATGGCTGTTATTGAACTGCATTTGTCTTTACAATGTAAATTTCATACTGAAATATCACTGAATCTACTTGTGCATAGCTGGTACTGGTGCATTTATCTAATCTATTTCATTCATCTATCTATTTCAAATGATATGTCCTTATCATGACAAGATAAAAATTGAAAATCGTATAAAAATCATAATAGACTGGAGACTATAGTTATGGTTAACTAACAGTGTAAACTACAAGTATGTGATAGCAGTGTAGACAAAGGCTATATGTCCAGTCATCAGAATAATGAATTGATAATGATACTTACTTCTTAACAAAAAACAAACAAACAAAGAGTGACTCCTACCTACAAACACCATCTTGGGTACTATTATTTTAAAAGTTGTAAAAAGCAACTTGATTGGTCCACTGTCCTCAAACACTCAGGTTGTGGTTCATGCCCCCCTCCCCCATCTTTAACAGCTCTTTGAGCTTACATTTGTGATCAAGAAAAATAGAATTTCATTATAATTTCTGCATCATAGCAAAGACGTTTCCTAGTGCAGATATAATAAATAAAGGCACTTCTAGATTATATAAAAGAACTACCACGTACTTCAAGCAAACAATACACTGCTTTCTGAGGAATGTATTTTGTCTCTTCCTGCAAATCTTGGAAAATAATCCTTGAAGGTCTCAGCACAGGTATGATCATTGTCCTTTGTGTTCCTGTTCAGAAACAAAGATGAAGGGTACAGTAAGAACGGTGCATGCAGTCGAACAGTGACTAAGTATACAAGGAACTACACATCATTGCAAGATAATTATATGTGCATACATATGTACGTTTCATAATCTCCAAGCAGCTCTGTTGGTAGCTGTATGTCTGTATCAAATTGGCAGGGCTGTATCAATGCAATAAGCCACTGTTTCTCTGGCAAAAAAAAGATACTGGTACAAAAAAAAAACTAGTCTGATAAAAATGTCTAAAAAATAAACTGCAGCCTAAGCTTCTGCTAGGAGAGGTTTTGGGGTCCATTCATATTCTGAATGGTACGTATATCTTTTTTCTGTCCAAGTCAGAAGCAGTAACTCTGACAACCTATAATTTAGATTGGTATGGCCTGATGAAAAGTCATGTACCAGTTTCCATTTCAGCAGCTTGATCCACTCGTTGGCCTCCTCTTGGGTGTTGGCGTACATGTAGAATGTCCGTCCTGGGAATGTCAGGCTGATAGAAACAAACATACAAGGAAATGTCAAGAGTTACACATTCACTCAAACGTAGATATGGCAACCAGCCCTCACAACTTCTTCCTGCCACTTGTTACATAATGTAACCCAACCTGAGTGTTTGCAACAGGACCAGTTACCATGGTGACAGCTTTCTGGTCAGTCAGCAGCTGTCATTTGTTTGGAAAACAGGAGAAGCAGAAACAGAACAAAAACAATATGTTTTCTGTATATGTTTTCCTTAAACATAAATACTGTAAATAGAGATGGTTCAACTAACCTGAAACAGTTGGACTTATTCTGGGTGAAGTCAGGGGCCACTCCTGTACATGTGTTCAAATCCAGTACTCTCAAGGCATCAGTGTCCTAACAACCAACAATACGGCACTAGTTAGTACTAGTAAACATGTAGTAGTAACATCAGGGAAGAGAAAGAGGTATAATACCAATAGAGAAAAATATACACACAAACATACACTAACATACATACACACATACATACACACTAGAACATAACGTGGTAGCATACCAATCTTGCTCTGAAGTATTTCATCTCATTTCCCTTCAGAACAAACCATCTGGTCTTCCAGGACTGTATGGAAAGAACAAAACATCAGACACTTGACCAGAAAACAAAAATCATTGTGCAGTTACTGCAGTAGTGCTTATCTCTAGAGAAACCTTTATAAACTTACCTTAAAATTCCACCCCTGCTTTGTGAGATATCCCTCCTTGGATGCAATCTGGAAAACAAAGGCCAGAAAAAGAAATGTTTGATTATAAAAATCAAGGAAGAGGCATTATCAAAATCCAGCTACAAGTATATGATCCTAACATTTTATCTTCTGGCTTGACTTGGCTGCTGTACTCTTTTCTACTGTCTTGAGTTTAGTGAAGCTGTAAAGACTGGGAATAAAGGTCACGAAGGTTGTACAGCTGTACAGTGATGAAGGTCGTACAGCTGTACAGTGATAAAGGTCGTACAGCTGTACAGTGATGAAGGTCGTACAGCTGTACAGTAATTAAGGTCGTAAAGCTGTACAGTGATAAAGGTCGTACAGCTGTACAGTGATGAAGGTCGTACAGCTGTACAGTGATTAAGGTCGTACAGCTGTACAGTGATAAAGGTCGTACAGCTGTACAGTAATTAAGGTCGTAAAGCTGTACAGTGATAAAGGTCGTACAGCTGTACAGTGATAAAGGTCGTACAGCTGTACAGTGATGAAGGTCGTACAGCTGTACAGTAATTAAGGTCGTAAAGCTGTACAGTGATAAAGGTCGTACAGCTGTACAGTAATTAAGGTCGTAAAGCTGTACAGTGATAAAGGTCGTACAGCTGTACAGTGATAAAGGTCGTACAGCTGTACAGTGATGAAGGTCGTACAGCTGTACAGTGATAAAGGTCGTACAGCTGTACAGTGATAAAGGTCGTACAGCTGTACAGTGATGAAGGTCGTACAGCTATACAGTCATTAAGGTTGTAAAGCTGTACTGTGATAAAGATCGTATTTGTGCAGTCAAGAAGGTCGTATTTGTCAAGCCCTGATCTGATATCTCACCACTAAAGTTATGGATCTAAAAGAGTACTGTGAAGTTACCAGTAGTTTTTTTGCTACTATGAAATGGAATGATGCAACATGATGGTGGTATGTCAATACAGCTGAAGGAAGATCAAAGCTTGAAACTTGTGTTTAATCATAGTTTTAAATATAAATCATAACATTCCTTTTGGAGACACTTTTGGGGACACTCTACACTTTAACCACTAGATTTTAAAGTTTGTTTCTAGTGGGTATTCTCAGGTGATTATTTGATAACCACATGGGGACTATCAAACAATCATTTGCTGCTGGTGTCAAGTCTATCATGGTTTGAGTGGGCTCTCTTTAGGGCTACAAGTGGCTCCCACCACCCATTCTCAACTAAGCAACCAGTAGAAGGAGTGTTGCATGGCAGGAGTTTAATTTGTAGGGGTTAATTAATCTCCTGCCATGCAAAACTCCTTAGATCAGAGCCTTATCTTGAAAGTTCATCTGTGTTGGTAGAAGTCATTATGCAGCAAGATTAAACTGTAATTTCCAACACAAGAAACAGACTTTCTGCAACCTATGATCCACTGCTCATGGAGTCACGTGTGTTATCTGCGTGATGTCACGGAAGCAGTGGATTGTTCATTCCTTGACAAAGACTGGAGTTATACAGTCGAAAATTTGGGTGAGTCCAATTTCTTGTGTTGGAAATTAGTTTAATCTTGCTGCATAAGATGAGCCTTTTTGCAGGAACCTTCTGCAGCCCTGAAGAAAGCCTGCCCAAACTGTAATAGACTAGGCTAGCCACTTGCCAATGTAGAGAGAAGATTTAGTCAACTCACTGGCATAGTCTTAGTTGAAGAGGAGGCAGCTACAGCTGGAGCTAACAGTAGGCTGTCCTGCTGACCGAGTGATGCGTGGACGGTCACAGTATCATAAACATCGGGCTCATGCACATTGCGGGAATAGGGGTGGCGCAGAGCTGTCAGAATGCCTACAGCCAGATGTAAGAGTCAGATGTATCATGCTAACATACAAAACTATGCAAGGCATCTCTCGGTGTGACCCCTGTGGAGGAGATGCAATGGTTTCTTCCTCTTGCTCAGAGATGTAAAGAATGACACTTTTTAAATTTGATTGAATAACATCATTAAATCTTTAAGGAAGTCTTAGAATGATTGAGTTATCAAACATTTGAAAAAAAGCACTTTCTTTGAATTTCAAGCCTGATTTGGCTAGCGCTGGAAAGACACAAGCTTATGATTGGAAAAAGGGAGGTATCATGATCAAATGCAATGAATGATAGAATCAGCTGAATTTGGCATAGAAAGCGTACATTTAACCTCCTCCCAGCTGCCTTACTTCAAGACCAATACAATTCGGTGCCAAATTGCTACCTTTGCAGGCTAAGGGTTAAAAGAATCGAATGGTATGTCATCTCCCACATGGATCACACTGACAGCTGCCCTGTGTCATGAGGACTTACAGAGGGGGCCCGAGTGTTGGCCCTGAGGTCCTCCTCTGTCTTGCCTGACTCCCATCTCATGGACATGTCCACCTTATCATACAAGGATGGTTCCATCACTTGGCGGGGGTAGGGGAGCCTCAATAACACAACCCAACAGCCTACAGATGATTCATCGTCAAGACAAGGCAATTAGAGTACAGATGATGGAGTCATTGTGAAGGAAAGAAGTTAAAGACATCGAATATGCAATTACAGAATCAGAGCTTTAATACCAACAAATATTTTTGATGAGGAAATATGTCTGATATTTACTGACATTTCTTAGCAATAATCATTCTACCCTGACAAACATAAATATTCTTGGTATAATCTTTGAACAATACTATGAGATGTATGTAAACAGCACTACATGTACATATTCTTCTTCACTTTCCCACAGACTGAATCATCGATTACCTGACTCTCCACCAATAAGTGGTTGGTTTGCAAAGTGCTCGACAAACTCTTGTAGAGACTGGAACACCCCCATTCCAAACTGGTACTGCTTGCCGTCCCATCCTATCTGGAAGTGTTTTACTGAGTCTTTGCACCTTGAAGAAAACATCAAACACAGGCATCAAAATATAACAATAATTATGGAAATTTTTTTGCTCTTTTGCGCCTGTGGAATAGTCCAGTGAATAAGCTGTGATAATATTTGTGAGACAAACAATAAAGATTACACTATGTTGCACATCTATAACAAGGTTCTATATCTATGTTACTAAAGTGATGTTTGATGGAAATTGGAAAGTCACAACTTCTTAATGATAGATGTGTGGGATACTTTTTAGGAGGAAAACTATTTTCTCTAGTTCTTTTTAGCCTAGAAAAAACTTGGAGAAATGTTGAATACTATTGTACATAAACTATTTCTATAGACATCCAACTGTGGACATTCATAGTTGAAATTTCATTTTCCATATTGCACACAACATTCACAATGAAGAATAAAAAACAAGAAAAAAATGCATTTATGTTAGGGAACACTGTGATTTGCGTGAAAGTTTTGAGCTTACTTGACAGAGAGTGAATATTCCCCGACTCGTGTGGCACTGGAGCGGAGAAGGTAGCTGCCATCCTCAGCATTGGCCATGAGGAGGGCTTCTGCCATGTGGCGCGACAAGTCCCCATGGTACCAACTACACAGGCGACAAACATTGGTATGATACTAACAACACCAAAATCATTATTTATTTATGTAGTACTTACTTATTCATCTGGATATCTGTAATTGAAAGAAGGAAGCTCGTGGAACTAGTAGTCTTTTATACTTTATAGCGTATGAAAAATTCATAGCAAGAACTGAGTGGCGGTACACTGGTAGTGATATGCAACGTTGCTTGTGAGCCTAGTGTAACAGTGGGGAGTTTATAGGTGCTACCAACTGACCCGGCCGATGGGTCTAGAGGACTCTAGACCTTTTCGGCCGAGCGGTTGGAGTGTCTGACTGGGGCCCGGAAGGTTGTGGGTTTGAACCCCGGCCCGGGACCAGAAGGGTTTTTACTAGCTCCTCCTGTAAGGTAGCAAAATGGAATGTAACTATGAAATAAAACTCAATGAGGAAGCTACAATGTTGCTTTATGCCAACACTCCTCTCTGTGTAAACAACTACACATCAAATCCAGTCCATTACACTTTCATTTTCACTTATCCTTTCTTTTTTTGTCATTATGTTTGGCAAACTGATGAAAAGGAAGACAAAGCCTGACTAAGAAAGAGAAATATCACTTCAACGCCTGCTGCGCAGAAGACTAACTTTCCAAGAAATGGCGGAGAACCTTAATTAAGTTAAACATCCGGCAATTTTGTGGCCTGTATCAAATTTCCTATGAAATTTAAAAAAAGGCCTTAAAAAGGGTAGACTCTTCAAAAACGTATCACTTATCACGAATTTGGAAACACTTTTACATACAACAGCACCAGTAGAAACTACGCACAATATACAATGTACAACAAAACAAAAACGAAAGGGGTGGGTGGGGGGTGCCGACAGATAACGATACATTTTTGCCGATATGTCACTTCCGGGTTTACAAATTAAGTGCGTTTCTAACAAATACTCTTTGTTTTCAAATGCCACAATGGTTAGATTTTGATCTCTAGAGAATCATAAACCACCTGTATTAATCCAAATGTCTTTACCACTTGTAAACAGGGTATAATACTCACTCTAACTGCTCTACTTCCAAGTTCCGTAACCCGGCCATGATAATTTGCGGTTCCTTTGTGAGTAAGCCAACTCGACGTAATCTAGGTTACAGGCTCTGTTACGGGTCTACAAATGCTGGAGTCAACAGCAAATAACGGATTTTTTTTCTTTTGCCTGCAGTTTTATACAATCAAAATCATCTCCATATGTTGCTGAAAAGGACAGTTATGAGAAAAAAAGTCGAAATCAGCAGAAAAATTGTCATTTTTTTACCGTAGTAAGGCCTGCAAATAGACTATCACCCACAGGTCTTTGCGAAACAGTTTCGTTTAGGGATAAATCGTTCAGTATTCGGACGCTGTGGAAGGATGAAGGTAATCAATATATAAAGCCATAGTTTTAATATAACCGTAGGATAAATATGCTAGTAAGATATAAATTAAGCAGCTTATTTACTATAAGCGTTTGAATTTGTGATCATGTCAAAACTTACATGCTAAGGCAACAGGTAGCGAGTCGTCCCTGAGGTCATTACAGGTCACTACATTCGCGCGCTTTTTTGTGTCAACTCTCCCACATGACCCAGTAGCGTCCCTCGAGTTGTGACCTTTTCTTGGAGCACTCCTCGCTTCTGCAGCACAATTTCGAAGGATTTCTCCGAATTTTGTGACTTCTTTATATCGTACGTGGTGAAAGACAAGTTGTGAAGATGGCGGGAAGATACATTTCTCCTTATGAAGAAAAACGTCTGAAGAACATGGAGGAAAACAGACGAATTTTGGAGAGTCTGGGACTTGTGGGGCCTGGCTACGTAAGTTTTGATATTTTTCTTGCCCTCACATAATTTATGTGTGGTATTTAAGGGGAGCAAATTGAGTTAAGTTGAGTATCTGGCTTGTATGTGTTTCAGCAATCGCAAATACTATGTGAAGCATAAAATACAGCGTTGTCATCCACTATACGACCTATAACGTAAGGTTGTACAATTTTTGGCGACGCCAATGGAGTGGAGCCTGTAGTTGTCTTGAGGCTGGCTGGAAATCGAGACATTAAATGGTCTTCTTTAATCTTTGATATCTATGAATTAAATCTTCATTGATGATGCAATGAAACCGTAATTATTTATTAGTGAAAATATGGTATATAACCACAATGTTACAATTGTTGTAACGTTACAATATGAAAGCAATTCAAATCATACAAATAAACAAACAAGCCAGACAACTAAGTCTCTTTGTCAAATCCAGGAGAAGCCAAAAAGGGTAGTGAAAAAGAAGGCTCCAATCAAGAGGAAGAAGACAGTGCATGTGCACACGCCAGCCAAGAAGGTTATGAAAACTGATGGCTCATTGGAGGAAAAGGTGGATATAGAAGAGGATGTCTCAACACCAACAAGGCGGTCTGCTAGACTCCGAGGAAAGGTACAATAATTAATAATCTTCAGCAGAGGCTATGTTGTATGGTAAAGAGCTAAATGTCACAAGTGCAATGCACAGTTTAGGCCAAATACAGTTATCTGATTGTAGTGCCTACCAAACATCCTTGAGAATATTTTTTTCCTTGAAAATTGTGGTCCAATTTGTAGACATTTTGGGTCAGATGGAACAGATATGGTTTAATCTTTCCCATTTTTGTCAAAATCTGTTCAGTTTATCAGTTTAGTTCAGACTAGTTTCCTTTTGATAGAGGTAGCTGTGTTATCTGCCTAAATTCTGCTTGCCTGTAGCAAGTACATGTGTCAAATTGTCTGTGTTGTTGTTTTTCTCCCAGGCTGCCCCTTCATTACAGGAGCTAAGGACAGAGGTGGATGAAGAATTGGAGGCAGAGAAAGACACTCGCTACAAACCTGTCCCTAAAGACAGACCAAACGTCTTCGGGGAAATCCCAGGTCAGCTTGTCTCAAAATATCTACATTCTTGCCAATGGGTTTAAGATTGAATATTCAGGAAGACCTTTATTGTACATACATACCCACTGAGTTACATTGCAAGTACAGGTCACAAATCAACAGTCATGAGATTGTATGGGTGTGCACTCTTTCATTTAACTTGTAACGTGTTTTCTTTTGTAGGTTTTCCAGTTGGAACATGGTTTGATACAAGGATAGAGGCATGTCGAGCTGGGGTGCACAGGTAGATGAAACAGTCATGATTACAAGTACCTATAGAACAATAGTGCCTTCTGTAGAGAAATTATAAGCCATGTGTTACTGTTGCATTGGCTGAACAAAATATTCACTGAATTGCCAGCATTTTTTTAAATGTTGTGAATGGTTAATTGCATTGTCTTCATTTCATAATCCCATTGCAGTAATTTTGCAAACATTTTCAGGGCTCGGAATTAAAGGTGGTCCAATGGCTACTGACCACTAAAATTTAGGATGGGACAACTAAAAGACACTTTGGGACATTTGGGGACAATAGAAAATAATCAACATCAGAATGTCAGCCCTTATTTCGTTTATCAGGCACACGTCCCGGCTTTTGGATCCGGAAAAGTCCCCCAAAATTTCCTGTCTACTCTGCAAATATAGTGGGCCTGGGAGTGAACATAAGCAAAATAAAGTTGACTTGAAGTTGAAGTCATACATGCTTCCCAAAAAACAGGTTGGGACAGTTCATCGTAACTTCGGGACAATTGAGATTTACTTTTGGGACAGTGCTGGGACAATAGGAAGAAAATTTAATTTCGAGGCCTCATTTTAACTGTACTGAATATTTGATTGACAGGCCCACTGTTGCTGGTATCCATGGTAACGACTATGAGGGTTGTTACTCGTTGGTGTTGTCGGGAGGTTACGAAGATGATCTGGACTATGGAGAGTGCTTCACCTACACTGGGGAGGGTACGTTTGTTTGTTTATTTGCTCATATGCAATGAAACATCAAAAGGAACAGAAAACTGAGAGAAAATTGGTTGTCAGATCATTTGTGGTGCCCACCAGTGGAATAATGAAGACTAAGGGATAGATGAGAGCTGATGAGATACGATGGAATTAAAGACATGGTAACAAAAGTAGAAATCATTTTGGGTAAGAGTAGAAACCTGTGTGACTTTTTCCTGGGCTGCCCCAGAAGTTAATGATGAAGTCAGATATCCTACTCACTATTAGTAGTCTGATGAATTGTATTAATTTCCACTATTACTAACAAAGCATTGTCTCAACAATACTGTATTGATATTATTTGAAGTATGAAAAAATAGAATAGTTCAATTCCAGTGTGTCAGTGCAAGAGCCAATTGAAATGCACTTTTTACGAGATATAATCAGTTAGGTTTCATACACCAAAGATATAGCAGGCTCTATATATACAAAATGTAATGTTGTCGTAACCTATATATTGTAAATACTTTTAATAATTTGCTGTTTTTAACTGTTTTTAATAACTGCTTGTAATATTTATGTCAACCGTTTTTAATAACTTATGTAATGTGGCAGATCAATTCAGGGTCCTACGGGGACCCTGCTACTCTGTATCGTACGGTCAGAAAGAAATGAACCAGTATTATTATTATGTTGCCCAAACCTTAACACTCCACAGGTGGACGTGACCTTAAGGGAACAAAGGCCAACCCTAAGAACCTTCGTACTGCTCCACAGTCTAAAGACCAGACTCTGACTCGAGGTAAGATTTCGTCACCCTTCTACTTCTAGTGCATAATGTAGTATAACCCATTTGTATATCATATTTCCATGTTTGTATGAAGTTTGACTATTCTTGGACCAGAATGACTAACTGTTGTACTTTCCCCTCGAAGGAAACTTGGCGTTGAGTGTAAGTGTGGAAACCCGTCGGCCTGTCCGGGTGATGAGAGGCTACAAGCTGGACAGTGTGTATGCTCCAGAGGAGGGGTACAGATATGACGGTACGGTTTGGACAAAACTTCTTTTGTTATGTTTTCCTGCACAGAAGAAAAAGTTTTCCACATGCAAAAAAACACATGTTTTTTCTCAGTTTCTTGTTCTTCCATTCTAAACAAATAAGATCAATGACATGGACCAGATGGCTGTCACCATGGTAACTGGTGCTGTAGCAGACACCCTGTGGGGTTGGATAACATTATGTAGCAAGTGGCAGAACAGAGTTTGGGGGCTGGTCACCATACACATGACTTTGAGTAAGAATAAACAGGGACTATTCTTGTCTTCATCTCATTAATTGTTTTAATGCAGACTTTTCCATGTAGGTTGACTGCATGACTTGTTTGAAATGTGACTGTTTCTGTTGCAGGTCTTTATTCAGTAGACAAGTTCTGGTTCACGACAGGGTTGTCAGGATTTGGGGTGTACAAGTTTGTGCTGAGCAGGTGTCCAGACCAGGCCCCTCCACCATGGACACTACCTGCTGCCGGGGACGGCTCTGTAAGTTCCCAACAGCTCACTGATTTCTACCCTCTGTAAGGCCACAATGACCTGATTATGTGGATGACATTCGTGTGCTAGTTTTCTTGCTAGTGTCTGCCTTTATCACCACATCTTCGTATCAGTTTTGAGGTTCCCAGATGACTTTTGTCAGAGGAGTCTTTCTTCTATGGTTTTGTTTGTATATAAGGCACAATGCCTCCAAAAATAATTTCATCAGGTTGCAAACTAAAAAATTAGCCATGTTTGGGATTGTGTTTTTGCCACTAAAACACCACCTACATCGGCTACATATAGTGGTAAGATACAGTACTTCAGTCAGCTCTGGGTAAAGCATTTCTGTATCTGTATCGCCGGTATAACTGCCCTTTGGCATAACACACCATCATCGCAGGCACGCGGCGCGGTGGCAGCTGGCTACATTACACCTAACGACTTGTTACACCTAACCTTTGAACATCTAACTGTACTTGGTGACAGCAAGTTCCACTCTGTGATAGTTCTAGGAAAGAATCAGTGTTTGACATCGAAATGTAAGCAGGTGAGAATCACTACAGGTAGTGTAAGAAGAAAATCCCTATATTCAAGGCACACTGCCTGTTGCTATTACTGGTTATCCAGTACATGTATCCCTCTGTACTCCATCCAGGGCTCAGATTCAGACACAAACAAGGCTGACAGTGACTCAGGTGTCTCAATGACTACAGGAACAGAGACAGAGGCTGACTGAGCCCACTTGCATACAGGTAAATCTGCCTGGGGAGGTTTAATGAATTGATAAATAGATAAATAATAAACTTCATTGCACAACAATTATACAAGGTACAAAGCATGGCATCTACTGCTTTATAACAACCTACTAAGAGAATAATCAACCTTACGAGACTATACAGTGTGGGATGAAAACATGCTTATTCAGTTACGGTTGAAATTTCTTGACATTTTCTAAAAATATTGTCCTACATGTACAATACATTGGTTATCATGTCAATATGCACCATTGAGAGAAATCGAGGTATAGAATATGATGGGCTTATATAAAAATAAGTGTGTAGAGTGCATTGTCTATTGGTTAGCATAAGAGTTTGGGCGTTCGAATCCCAACTGTTGTCGCTACTGTAAAGGGTCGCAGTCCTTAGGATGGGACGTAAGCTGTGATCCACTGTTCATTGTACTTGTCGAAACGATCGGAGCTTTGGGAATTTCCCCACTACAATGAACCTGTAAATAGTAGTACAGTAGTACTGTACATAAAAACTGATGGGCAAATAGATGTGTAGATGGACAGAAAGGTTGAATGAAACTAAATATGAATTTTAGATACATGACCATAATATGTAAAACTACATAACATACATAACGTTAACTAAATAACATAACTACATAACTAAATAAAAATCCATCTTTCCACTACAGGTGCAAAAGCTGTGAAGGAGCATCTATCTTAAGATCTCGTTTGGAAACTTTTTTTTAGGACAGTTTATGAAGCTTTAGGGAAAATAAGATAAAGATAGAAGTATAAACATTCACAAAGAAGTTGAAAGAAAAGTTCAAAGAAGAATCACATCAGTTGCACTTTCAACAGTTTGATCAAATCTTGTAGAATAAAATTATTAGGCAGAAATTTTCTAAACACATTCTTCTTAAATAGTGCTATATTATGATAAAGTTCAAAGTGCAAATGTTTCCAAGTTTTAAACACACTGCCATGTTTGATGACCTGTTCAGGTGATGGGAAGATGCATATAATGTAGTACTGTTACCTTTGGCCCTCAAATGAATTACATATGGTTGCTTTTAGATTGCTGAGTTGTCAAATAACAGTGTTGTACATGTATATGTTGGTATCAAATGTTAGTGATGCCATCAACTAGGCTGTTTTATGTAAAATTTCAGTGATTGGTGTTAGATTGTATGAAAAATTATTTTTAGATAGTATTATGAAATAAAATACAGTCTTTTAGGTATGAATTTATTTGATTATGAGTCATATAGTCGTCTAATCTAAATGATCTAAACAATACTTGTGGTAATTCTGGAGCTACATCACCAGTCTCCTTATCTGTATCTTTTGCACAACACACCAGCTTTGCAGGCACGTGGCATGGCAGCAGCTGGTTATATTACACTGAACGACATGTTACCTAACATTTGCACATCTAAGTCCAAGTGTTGTCTAAAATCAACAATGACGCTGTTGCTAGTGATGATACTGTACGTGATACTGTACTTGATACTGTGGCAGTGAGTTCCACTCCATACTTGGTAGTTGGTATATATATATATATATGTGCACCATTTTTTTTAGTCATTTTGTACATCATGCATAGTCTGGCTTTTATAAGAGCTAGACCAAATCTGCTTTTGACTAGGTGATCATGACTAAATGTCTCAGGGTGCCAGACTAATTTTTAGGGGAAAAACTACAAAAACAGGCATCCAGTGATGGTAGACTTCGCCCTCTCAGACAATATGCCTCATTCACTGGCGCACTATACAGAAATAGCACTGCAAAATCCCCTGTATACAGACATACACACACACACAGACAGACATGCCAAATACAACTGACATTTGTTGGCGAGCAAATATAGCATACTTCACTCCATCTCCCCCATGCAAAACTGGACTGTTCCAAAACTGGTCTTTCCATGCTCAAAGTGTAAAGTTTAAAATCTATACCTATGGTATGGAATGAAATATAAAAATACAATATATTTCATCCATTCCTACGGTATGGAGTGAAATATGATAATCACTCCCTGCGGGTGAAGTCGTGACCTGAAGTAACCCGCGCGTCACGCCCTCGTGTCACGTGCTCTGACGTCACCGGTCGGTAAACACAGCAGTGGGAACAACAGGAGGGGAAACATGGCGGTGTGCGGACTTCTTATCGCTTCCTTGTTCGCCGGGGCTACCCTGGTGGCGGTAAGTCACTCCTTTTTTAACAAGAATTTTAACTAAGAAATAACTCTGAACAGGTGGTTGGATGTTCTCCGAAGTTTCTACCACCATACTCTTAGTCCACAAGTGTATTCCCAACCACCGTTAGTTGTTCCGGAAACAATACGTATATGTAAATGCCTGCATGTATTTCATTACAGGTTCTGTTAGAACTTGGTAGAACATGATAAACTTGAGGGAACTAATCTTAAGACTGTATGAATGTACGTTACCTAATGTGTAAAATTCAGATAACGATCGTCGAACTTTCAACAAGGCCACAAGAAATTGCGTTACACTCCTGGACTTTGTACCCGAGTAGGTTTGTACTTATTACTGAAGATTAGAATGTTAGCGTTCTAAATACTGCTAAAAACGAACATAAAATCAGCTTTTGGATGGTAGATCGTCCAGTATCTGAATGTACGCAACTTTGGTATGAACAGGTGGGAGCAAAAAAACAATGGCGTCACGCCACGACCATTGAACTTTACACTTCACTAGCTTTGTGCCCAGGGAGACGCCATATCGAATTCGCAAAGCGCCTTTCAGAACAAGCCAATTGGAAGATCAGTTACCTTGTCTTGATGCTTTGTCAAAATGAAATAGAAACTAGTCATGGAGATAGAACTCTCTCGGCGCCAAAAGAAACCACCGCGCACATAGAAACACACAGACCACTAGAAAAGGAAGTGTACACCAACGCTAGGCAATGTAATCACACGGAAGTAAACCATGCAGGGTTTATATGTTCCGCCTTCTTTACATGATCTTTCCTGCTCTGTTTTCCTAGGCCGACGACGTGTGTATCTCACCCGATGGCAGATTGAAGACATGCTACGGTAGGATTAAGAAACTTAACTAGTTATAGCTTGTGATGAATTCTTCTGTGTACATTAAAAATACTTCCCTCTCTTAAAAGTCGCATTTGCGAATTCGAATCACATTTTGCTATTTTCATTAACTGTTGTATTCCTTTGTGTCGTATATAGCACCAATACTTGTTTCAAATAATTTTTTTTGTCCAACAAATTGAATTTTCCATCTGTTCAGGGGACTTTGCATATTGCTGCGGAGCAAATAACTTCAGCTGTTGCAATGAGGGGTACTACGTGTACAGCGCTTGGTGTAAGTATAAACTACTCATGTGAAACAACATTTTAGATAAATGATAATACTGTCACAATGTTGAATCTATGTTTGGGGCTCCTGCTCAATTAACACCAAAAGCATACAGAACAAAGCACTATTACATTTTTTTTACCAGGGTTCTGGATGATTTGGGTGATGCTGTTCATCTTCTTCACCGCCTGTGGGTATGCTATCCGGAGGCGCCGCCTAGCGGCTCGCACCGTTATTATCCAGGGCACACCGGTGCCTCCTCCCCAGGCCTACGTCACCACAGGCACTACTGTGTATGGGGCGACTTACGGTACCCAGCCTCCGCAGTACAGCGCCGCTGTACCGCCACCACCATACCAAGCTGACGTAAGATACTTTTAACTAGAGAAGTAACATTTGCAAAGCAAATGCATAATGTTTACCTTTGGACATGGTCTACTCTATTAATTTTTACTTTAACACATTCACATACATGTACTACTAGTATATGGTGACAGGAGTAGAGCAGACCATGAAATTGCAACATTATGTAACCCAACACCAGTCACCATGGTGACAGACGTCAACAAATCATGTCATTGGCCAGGTCAGAGGTTAGAGTTTGGAACAGAAGAGGAGGAAGAAACTGAGTAAAAACAATGTTTTCCTTCGGTAAACATAACTATGTTTTGTCTGTATCAGAGGAAGAATCTTAGAAGCAAAGGTGTTTAGTACAGTTTTCAATATGTTGGCAATTCCCCTCTGTTCTAGTGTAATGTTTTGACTGCAACTCAAAATTAGTTGTTTGATTCCGCTTGTGACAGTTGTCAGTTTATTTTAAGGACGGTTTTAAATGTTGATTATTCATTAGCCACTGCCTTCAAAGTAGAAGTCAAACCCTCCATTAACATATACAGAAGTATCTGTTATGTGTACATGTATAAACTAAACATTGTTTTTACCTTACAAGTTATTGTAATTGTATGTTAACTTGCAGTTAGCCTTTGGGCAATAAAGGTTGATTGATTGTTCAAAGTGCACACTTTTGTTGTGAAGGGCATACTTGGTTAAGCAGTGACAACTTATATTTTGTAGGAAATTTCACACCGATTCTTCTTCTTTTTTCTTTCCAGTCAGCAAAGCAGCCACTTCTGCATTAGAGTGACGTCAGACAGCAAGGTCACCACAGTGGCATCATGGGAAGTTGCCTCAAGGAGATATACACGTAACGTTATATCTCTGATCTGTATCTACACTGAAATCTCATTGGATATCCTATGTGACAACCAGTAACAATTACTTGAAATTTTGTACAATGATTACCGTATTGTTCTGTTATAAACTGGGTTTAGTAACGGTTGAGACAAGAGAATTTTTAATGATTGTTAACGTTACTATAGTCTCTTGGCTAGTATTACTTGCTGATGGCGACAGAACTAGATGTAGTTTATACATGTAAGACTTGTAGAATACATTACACAGTATAATTGATACGGCACAATACTTCAATATTACATCCAAACCAATGCAATTTGTGTATAAGGACATACGTAAAGGTTCGAAATGGTGTCAATATATCAAATAATATGGAAGCTATTCGTTTCATGGTTAATGATATAGTCGGATTTTCCTTGTGTTTTAATCACTGTCAGGTAAAGAGAGAAAGCTTTGCCATTTTCCTTCATGATCCGCATGACCAATAAAGTTGTAATATTTCATTTTAGTACCCGTTTTTTTACATGTATTACGATTTTGGACTACTTACCTGTTGATGGTCACAAGAGATGTTGCTTCCGTTCGTTTCCTTAACCTACACACTGCCGTCTATCCCTATAACAAATACAATAAAGGCTTACTACTACTACTACTACTACTACTACTACTACTACAAAACTCGAACCAAGTGCTTACCTTAGCAAGCTGAAGGTTACGTTGAACAATATGACGCGATGTTTTTCGCTTGTAGTATGATAATGTTAGCATATAACGACATACCGGCTTCCTATTTGGGCTACTTTGGCTTCTGATCCAAACCCATAAGGTCTATGGCCTGGGCCTAGCCACTGTCACAATGACTGGTGCTGTAGCAAACACCCTATGACGTTGGATACCATTATGTAGCAAGTAGAAGGACAGTTAGATTCGTGTTATTCATTTCGAGTAAGAAGAAACAGAGCAGTAGTTTAGTAGGATAGAATATAAGGTAAACATTATGCATTTGCTTTGCAAATGTTACCTTAACTTTCTAGTTTCCTATAGTTTTATACCTGAACTCCCAAAACGAAAGAATTAACTTGGTGTAGCCAGCCCTGCCGTACGAAGCCTCTCTGCCCGCCTGTCCTGACCCCACAGACCGTTCCTCATAACCTAAATGGACACTATCGACCTGCCTGTCCTAAAGGCTTAATTTACTCGACATCCGCAATATGGGATTGAGAATGCTTGTTGGATTGCCTGTGCACAAATTACCGGCCGCCTAACGATCGCTGAAAAGCGATGACAAAGCCATTCTGGTGGAGGCACGACCATTGGAGTTGACAGCATCAATATGGCAGCACGCCGTCTGCAGTTCTGTAAGGGTAAAGGTAGTCTCATGGCTTTTATCAGCCCGTAGGGTGGGTGGAAGGTGTTGGAAGGCAGAGCCCATCCCTCTCCTTCCACCGCCATTTCCCTACTCAACTGAAGTCAGGTAACCTATTTTACACCTGGGTGGAGTGAGGAAAGTCGTGCATTTCCCAAGGACACAACGTCTAGCCGGGAATGTCAGGAATCGAACCCGTGACCTCTCGATCTGGTGTCTGACCGCCGTATCCACCGTTCGACGACGCGCTCTTATAAGAAAAATAACCTAGAACCAGGTTGTCATCATCATTTATCAAAAGGCACAAGGGCAGTCCAGATATGAAAAAAAATCATTAAAGATGGAATGACAAGCAATGAAACAGAAAAACAAATACATTTTGATAGGACACTGCTAAATGATTCCAAAATTCAATTATTTCTCACCTAATCCAAACCCCATTTGCAAATTTGTGATTATAAAAAGTAAACTACTTCTCTATTAATTCTTAATTGAACACATTCATTTATATGATGAGTAGCCCCTCCAACTCTGCCACATAATGTAATCCAACACCATAGGGTGTCTGGTACAGCACCAGTTACCATGGTGACAGACGTCTGGTCCAGGTACTTGATCCTATTTGTTTGGAACGGAAGAAGAGGAAACAGCAAAAACAACATGTTTTCCTTTTGCGAAGGTAAAATTAATCAGCAGACAATCCATCAAATAACGCCTGTAAAAACATCCCCTTCCCGTGATAGTACAATAGGTTCAGCACCGAACATACGGCCCGGCTACCCGAGCACCCTTCAGCGTGTTCTGACCATGTGCGCGGCGTAATAAATATCCCGTGGATGAACGGCTGCTTAACTCCATTTTCCCAAAAGATTGACGACCCTGCCAATCCATCCTGCTCCGCGAAATTACAGGGATAAAGTCTGAATGGGCGCTGGCGTTCACACGTTTGTGTTCTATATACATTCATAGATTACTGCACTGGGCAAATTACAGGGATAAAGTGGCGAAAATCAATTTCTATTGACGTCCGGAATACAAACTTCGCGGCGAAGTGCAGTCAGGCCGATATCACGACCTTCCTACATTGCATCTACAGATACTAGTAGTCCGAGGCAAGCTTACTGTATACGTAGGTCCGGTCTTACTGTATACGTAGCTTGTACTTACTAGTACTGTACAAAGGCGGTGTGCTACGCCTAAAGGTGGCTTACAGGTTATATGCGAAACAAATCAAAAATACCAAAACGACACGTTTAAAAGCATAGCAATTTCTCGCGATTTCTGTTGCTTATATAGCTTTTAAGAAAGAAGGTTTAAGGTTGAAATACAGCATCATGTACCTTGTTTCATGCATGTGAATGGACAGTATATTTCCTCTAATGGCGCATTCGCATACTAGTATTGCCATTAGATCGCAATCACAAAAGTACAATCTAGCTTTCAACAACGTTGTTGTTTATCTATTTACAGCGAGTAACAATTATCACAGCACGAAAGAAAATGTTATCCCTGTAAACTAAAAGCATTAGAATGAGTAAACGCTGATATAAAGTATAATGAGAAATAAACAGCGAAAATTCGGAGAAAAAAATCGACTCACCGGAATTTCCGATGTCTCTCAGTCATTATCAACTACCTGGCCCAAGTGCAGTAGATACGTAATTTGCTCCCACGTATGACGTCAGCACCAGGTCAAAGTTCGTCAAAAGTCGGTACCGCCCCCAGTGCTGAGCTAAAGTGGTCTTTACTTTGGAATGTTCAAGTATTTCAGCATGACGCCAATCCAAAGATTGCTAAACATGTGCGTTCCCCGATTAAGTTTAAAAGTACCATGTTAGTTACGAACGTTGTTGCTTCCTACCATAAAATCTCAATCATGTAAGGAAGGATAGCTTTGTTGACCTATCGATTCGTAATTTCTCCGCTGGAGAGGACCCAAGATGGCAGGAAATAGAGCCAGTTTTCTGTGAAATCTAAATCATTCGCTGTCTTACGCGTTGCCAAGTTCCGCAATATTTTTGTTATATTCGGTCAGAAATTCCCGTTAGTCAATTTTTTGTTGGAGTTGGTGAACGGCTTATCATCCTTTAGCGTACTCAAGATGAAATAACGAGCATGCAGTTTCTAAAGAGCATGGCCGAATGTTACGGTATACAAGTTGTTTACCTTCAAGAAATCAAGGCAAAAGCACACCAGTATGCGGTAGTACTGCATGGCGCCCACATAATTGAGGTATGAAGTTTTCAAACTGTAGTGTAATATTGTTATCTGCTCCTAGAAGGCGCTATACAATCAGATTTGTAGTAGCTTGCTTTGCTTTGTCAATATGAGAAATGGATGCCTGCTATACAATATATCAGTTCCGTTTTCAATATTGTTCAAGGGTCTACATATTGTGGACCTATACTGTGTATATAATTTGACACTTCGTGGATGCTCGGCACACCGAAATACAATTCCGTTTTCATTTTACGCCGTTGTTTCATAGATGTTCTTCTTTTTATTGTCTCAAACTTAAGTGGTGGATTTTGTTAAATGCTACATTATGTAACATTAGGACAATACATAAAGTCAATTTTCTGCTCATTTCTGTGCAAAGTAAGTTGAATCAACCCTACTCCTTTGCAAATAAATACCATTCAGGAAGTGGAGGTGCCAAAATATTACACCATAAGAGTGTGTTTAAAAGCTGAAAGCATGTTGTTTACTTTTAGGTATTTTGTGGTAGTGCCACAAAATGAGTGAACCTCGTGTTGGCTGTTTAGCACCAACCATAAATGTCAGAAATGTGAGATAATTGCACAAATATGTTGAAAAGTAAATAATTCCAATCACATGAAGATTTTCTCAACTGAAATATTTCAATTTTTGATTTAAAAATGCTACATAATGCACCTTTAAACGAAGATGATAAAAAGTCGTATTTCCTATGTGCTAACTCCTTGGTGCTGAAAGTCTGGTTGCTTCTACATTACCGTTTTATATAGCCATGTCTGGTTTTTTTGATCACCATTAGTGGACCGTGGTCGTCCTGTGTCCTTAGTCACGGTTAATAAGACATGTCGTCAAATTCATGACTCAAGAAGTCGTCTCGTTCACTCTCACTCGCATCCGCTGACCCTGTTTAACCAGTGACACAACCGAGGCATAAATATCGTTTGATAATATTCTGTTTATTCATCAGATACATACAACACGTTCCAGTTACACTGGTATAGACTCGGTAGACCCAGAGAAAGTTCCCGGTGCGATCCGACACCATACTGTATCTGTGTAATACTGACTCATTTTGGAAGCACGGTAAGTTGCGATGAGGCGACATTAAAACCCATGATCCACCTATGCAATTTCCCGCTTGGCTAGGACCGTAATAGCGCTACGATGGGAAGATTTGCCAGTATGGCGACCGATATGAACAAATCACACGCATGACAGCCTCAATCGAGACGGCCCAACGGCATCTTATCCCCGTATTTTCCAAACACAATTCCTTCTGGGATTGCAAATGCATGACATGTTCTCCGGAGCTGGGCTTGTTGGCGCTCTCGTCTGCAATCAGCCCTGAACCACGTCTTCTCAATTTGACGGGCTGGCGTGTCAAACTCCTGTGAAATTAAGGTGGGCACCATCCTCGCTAACCTTGATTTTTTTCTCCTCGGCGCTTATTTCCCAGCGTGGCGACGGAAGAAGCGTAGTCTGCTGAGAGATAAAGGGTAGAATCCCGGATCAGGATTACAAGGTGTCAGTGCAGGGGTCGGGACTTCGGGAAGATTAATTTTCCAGTCCACTCACGGGGAAAAACCCGCCGCAGTCAACGGGGCGCGAGTATTTGAGATGATGTTTTAATACTGTCCACACGCACCGCCCCTGCCCCGACCTTTCTGACTCTTTATGAAGCACCCTCTTCTTCATTTTCTGAAAGGTCACATATTGCCTCCTGATCGTGACAGTCGAGACAGCCGAATATGTCCTGTCTATCGTCCAAATATCACCGCCACAGATAATGCGTTCGGACCAGGAGCGGTCACCTTTTGGCTGATTGGAGCGAAAGAGGAGGGATATATATGAAATGGTGACTGTGCAGCGCTTTGCGCCTTTGACCACACATTGAATTACATACACGGCACTGCACGGCAATGGATCACAAGTCTTACTCAAGCTTTCTTCAGAAGACTAAACATCGAGACGGTTTACGTGGCCAAGTTTCTGGGAAAAGTCACTCTGGTACATCTACTCATACGGCGTTACAATAGTTGGTCATCACCATAAAGCAAACAACTATCACTGCACAAAATCCACTTTTAAGCACGTTTTAAAGCACGCGTAAAGGTTACGTTTCTTCCATGGCGTGTGTACCTTTAAGCCTGCTTTAATGTGTGCTTAAAGATGGAATTTGGTTCTGTGGCTCTGTTACAGTAAGTTGAACAGTTAAACTTGTGACAGCCAATCATGACCACCAGGTATAGCATTGCCCTTTCCAAGATACAAAATGACATATAAAGTGTGTGGGAAATGTTAACAATGTTGTTACCGTGATGCACAACTGACAGTAGAGTACAGACCAACTGACATGTAGCGTGGGACGTTTAAACAGCCTTCATTCTCCACCTCTTCAAGGGTGCTGATATATCTACCTATATATTCTCCATTTTGACAGCAGGCAAAGTCAAATATGCTTTCCGTTAATGTCACTGTCGTCAGACGCACAACAGGGCGCCAGAGTAACACATAATATATCAATGATTCCACATATTTGTGAGGATATTTTACAATCATACGAGAGATAAACACTTTATACAAGTCTACAGTACATATTACATCACGACAATGTGTTTTGGAGCCATATGAACGTCCTCCGATGTCTGAATTAGAGCCGTTGTCTGGTGTTCTGTGAGGGATATCTTGGCAACGTTCCCGGATGTTGTCCTACGCTTTGTCATTGATGTGACGTCATGTGGCGCGACAGATGGTGTCGCTCGCGGAAGGATTCCCCGCACACGTCACACCGCAACTTCTCCTCACGTTTGCGCTTGGTCGGATCCACCTCGGCCTTGTGGTGAGAGCGCATATGGTACACCAAATCACTGGTCATGCGGAAGGAGGCGTTGCACTTGGCGCACCAGTTCTGCGTGGGAAGGTTGAACGTGACAGCGGCGGTGGGGGACGAGATGAGCGGGGGGACCGGGACGTGCGGGATGACGGGCGGGCGGGGAAGGAACGGTCTCGGCTCGATCTTCCCCATCCCCGGGAACAGCATCGGAGCGGCGGCTTTGTCAGCTGCCGACAGAAACCCGGGCCCGTCAAACTCTCCTCTGGGGAGGTACATGGAGGGTGGGAGGTTAGCGTTGATGGGAGCCATGTTGGCAATCGGAGCTTTGATTTCAAGTGGGAAGTCCATGTTTGTGACTTTGAATGGGTTGAGCTCCGGTGGGTAGGTGGGACTTACGGCGTGGTGGCCTCCTCCTGCTCTGATAGGCTGTGAGAAGGCACTGGCCGTCCCGCCACTGGACGCCGGTAAAACCTGCCCTACGGACCCCAGAGACGACAGAAGTCGCCCCGATGTGGAACTCAACTTGTTCGTAGTACCTCTCGACTCCGAGTCTGACTTTCTGTGATCCGGTAGAGGTGGTGTAAGGTTCTCCTTCGCCGCTACGCTGGAGGACTTGGACGAAGTGACTTCTGTGAAAGCACTCTTGCCGTCATCGTCTGTATCGCTGGAAGGCGTCAGGGGGCTCCCTCTGTCATTGGAGGACTGTCTGCCCAGGAGAATGTGAGAAGAAGAGGCGTCCGTTTTTCTACTTTCAGGGCTGTACGGTTTAGAGACGCTTGTACTTGTTTCTTCTTGGAAAGTAGTGTGTTTTGGAGATTTGTTGGTGAGGAAAGGAGAGTCGGAGGAGTCACTGCTGTCGCTACGTGGTCTCTTTGCGGAGGAGACGTTAGCTGTGTCCTTGCTATGGCGGGATTGGAACTGGAAGTCGCCGTTTGGTCGTTTTCTGCTGCCGTCTGTAGGGCTGTCGCTGGCATGACGTGGAGACGGGGATGTCTCGGTCGGTGAATGACGGGAGACAGTCTCTGGACTTCGGGAGCTCCGCTGAGGAGGCGAGGTCTGAACACTTAACAGACTTTCAGTCCGCGTGGAGGGTTCTGGACTCGCGGCCGCTTTGCCAGCCTTGTCGGCGGCCAGGCCGTTCGCTTCCTCCATGTTGTGAGGAAGGTCGTGGAAACTGAAGCCGGGTCCAGGCTTGGACGCACCCGCCGGAGCCGACTTGAGCATGCGCGCCGTGCGCACGGCCAGGTCGATGTCCACGGTCACAGGCTTGGTCGTCACCGGCATGGCCGCGGTGGATGACGGGAAGATCGCCGTGCCTGCTTTGCCCGCCATAGCCGACTGCCTCTTCTCGCACTTGTACCGCATGTGGGCGCGGAGAGGATTAGGGAACTGGAACATCTTGCAGCAGTGGGGGCACTGATAATTCTTTTCCCCTATAAAGCAAATTAAAAATATGAGTTAGCCCAACAATTTCCCTGTAAGCCGACCCCCATTCTAACCCCTGCCGGCCTGCAACGCCAAGATATGAGACAAATTCTATTATATGAGGCTAAATTGATTGGGAGACTCAGATCAAGATGGGACGTATGTTGCACACCCAGAAATCTGATGTACAAGCACCGACCGGGGACTAATTGAATTTCATAGTAGCAACATAAATAGGATCAGAAGGTCCTGGCTATTTTCCACAAGACGGGTTCACGCAAGCGGAATGAAACATGTCACCCAAGATAAGGGGATTTTGTGACTGGCTGTCATAACCTCAGTTTGTCACACGCATGGCAGGCGTTTAATATCCTCAGCAGCGGAAATAACCAGGGAAAACCTCTGTCAGTCGCATTTTGGGGCCGGGCTGTACTAGCGTGATTGATGACGTATGAAATAACATACGTGTTGGAACTACGATAAAGAGGCCTGATAAATATGAAAGGGTTCTGATCGCTCATTTCACGCCTCCTCAGCCACCAGTTAACTCCCACAAACTTCTGCTAACTAGTCAGACTTCAGATGATAAATGCACCAACTCCTCAAGGGATGTCATCACTGAAGTATGGTTGAAAAAAAGGTTCTTCACATAGGAGGAATTTCTCGTTTAAAAATATCAAATTCCTGGCAAATTTCTTGAATATATACTCAAGGGAATCGTTACTCAAGCAACTGGATAGATGTTGAAAACAGTCTCTGACGAAAAGCTGTGGATGCTACTTAAAACGTCTGACAGTTTTGAAAATCTATCCAGTTGCTTGAGTGATGCTTTTCTTGTGTATCTCATTACCTGGATGTCTACCCTTCACGTTTCTTGTATATACAGTCTCATTGAAGGGACACAAGGATCTGTAAATGGTGATTGTCATCTTATTTGACTCTAAACTCCATGTCATCCACTATCTAATTAATTGTTGTTTGTCATCCTTAACTGAGGTAAAGCATGATGTTTTGTTTTTCAAGTATATATCCAAACACACAGGGTCACCCCTACTCTTCTCGATAAGTGTGTTGGTTTTTTTTACGTGCTGAAGTTTGGTGCTTGAGGCTTATGTCTCACACGCGGGGCCCTCGGCTTGACGTAACCGTCTGAAATGACTGCATCACCTCGGTACTATAGACTGCATTTTTACCACCACATCACGAACTAGAGTTCCACGATCTCATACCTTCTCCAAATGATGTTAGCCTTTATGAATAAGAAATTATATATTAACCCCCTGATTATGCAAATAGGATCCTAAATTGCATGAATTATATCTGTTGATCATACATGTATTCTACACCAAAAGACAGTCTTATCTTGCCATTATATGCCAAGAATGCCATTATAGCATTTCCTCATAAATTATGCAAATGAGGTCCTTATTTGAATAAGTTATGTTCACTTAACTTTCAAACAACCTAAGTATGAAATTCCAGGCAGTTACCACTACGCAATTATAACATTTTCTCATTCAAGTTATCGTGTTTACAGACACGCACATACATACACGAACTCCTCTGAAAACATAACCTTCTTGGCGAAGGTAATTACGTACTAAGAGGTTTACAGCATACATACCGGCTATGAAGGAGGGTAGGATGTCTGGGATGCCGATATTGACGGCCCAGTCGTCGCTGTACCAGACGAGAAGCTCCTCGTCCCGCCGGATGTGACACACCGACCGGAAGTACACCTTGCCGCCCCGCTGGAAGGCCTCCATGTTTTGTTCCCGCCTGTCCCTGGCCGGCTGGATCAGACGTAACCACTTCAGGGTTTCTCCCGCCTCACGGCAGCAACTAGGGTCCACCTGAGGGAAAGATAACAGAAAAACATTCGCATTTGAGACATCTATGTAGTAAATTTGAGACATTTTTGTAGTAAATTCCAGACATGTTTGCAGTAAATTTGACACATTTTTGCAGTGAATTTGAGACTTTTTTTGAAGTAAATTTGAGACATTTTTTGTGTTTTTAGTAAATTGGGCTATTTCTTTAAAACGTATGTTTGAGACATTTTTAGTACATTTAAGCTCTCGCATTTAAGACATTTTTAAAGTAAATTTGAGACATCTTTAATAAATGTGAGATATTTTAAAGTAAATTTGGAACACTAGTACTTTGTTCAAGTAAATTTTGACAAATGTTTTCAAGTAAATTTGACACATCTATAAAATAACCGACCTTGCTCCTGACCATGATTTGGGGAGTTCGGTAGTGTTCAGGAGGCCATATTCGACTATGTGCGACAGGGGCTTTAAGCGACACTAAATGAAAGCTAGACTTTTTGTTGTCTAGTGTTGTACAGCCCGTCTTTTTCTATCAGAAGTATACTCACTGAGAGTGCCATCCTGGTAAAAGAAAAACACAAAAATAAACAATGAAAAAAAAACACTTCAGCAATCCATGAACTGTTTAATATCTGTGTCTCCCCAACACACTATATTGGGCCGCAATGCCAGCGGTATTAATATGGCAATAGATATTCCGATCACACCATACGACTGCCATATATATGACCTATCCAATTCAACTCCATTATTACGGTGAAGTTGAGGACCTATATATGGAGAGAGGGGTCAAAAGGAGTAAGCATCGATGCTCGCACCGTAAATTTTCATTAACTTCATTTAATTAGGAGGGAATTCGCATGATACACTAAATATGGTAGGGCTGACCTTCTCTTCAACGCTGGGTAACTTTAGCTAGGACAGGCCGGCTCGAAAATTTGCTCCATGTCAAAGACCACGAATGATGGCTACACCGGATTGAAAGGGGCTTGTATTTATAAATTACCTGCCAAATGATTAAACACATTTCTCAATGTCTGAAGAGGGGGATGAATTTAATTTGGCCCGAATCCTCCAGAGACGACCGCAGCAGAGGGTCTACATGAATGAAACGATATTGAGCGCCGCGACTTTTGCCTTTGTTATGTCTCACGGCAGAAGTTACGCTGCTTAATTAATTGAATGAAATGAAATTCAGAAAATTGGTTTCCGAATTAGAAAATGGTAATCTTATTATAACTTCCATAATACCCGGATAATCAAGTTAGATATGGTTTCCTAATTACGTGAATCGCTCCGGTTGGAGCGTGCGGTGCGCGGTTCTGAGAAGGCTGGTTGGTAGTGGCGTTGCGCGGTGTGCTGTGTTGTGAATACTTCAGTCATGAAGTGAGCGGGAAAATTGATGTTGCTCGCTTCCCTTCCCGTGCGCAAATTGCCGTGTAACCCCTGCTGAAGTGTCAGGACTCGGGCTGCTCAGAGCAGTAATAAGGCTTCTTCAATTACACTGTCGTGACCGTTCTTTACACTCCGTGTACTTGACTGACCTTGGGGGGAAAACCCGACTTTGCGTCGAGGTTAAACTCCTGAACAGGACATAAGAAACTCCAGGCCTCTTCTTCAGTGAGTCTTCTTAGACCTGTTGTTTCACACTTCACAAAACTCCTATCTTTAAGCATACCTTAAGGCATGCGTAAATTTCCAATTTTTCTATGATGAAAATGAAGAAACAAAACCTTTACAAACAGGGACAGGACATAAGAAACTCCGGGTCTCTTCTTTAGTGAGTCTTCTTCTACCTGTTGTTTAACACTTCACAAACTCCTATCTTTAAGCATACCTTAAAGCATTTTTTTTTTGTAACAGTCATGACTTTAGGCTCAAATCTGTTTTGTCTTGTACATGTAGATAGGAATGAGCCATCCTGTTCGACCTGCGCAGTTAGTCATAGTCTCTAGAGAGACTGACTGACATATATATAAAGCATGCGTGAATTTTAAATTTTTCTATAATGAAACTAAAGAAACAAAACCTTTACGAACAGGGACAGGACATAAGAAACTCCAGGCCTCTTCTTTAGTGAGTCTTCTTCTACCTGTTGTTTAACACTTCACAAACCCCTACATTGTATCTTTAAGCATACCTTAAACCATGCGTAAATTTTCCATTTTTCCATCAAAGTGAGGAAAGAAAACCTTTACGTATGCTTTAAGGTGCGTAAAGATATGATTTTATGCAGTATCGGAAACTCCAAAGTTTCGCTTCGACAAGACGAAGAGTGTAGCTGACAGCTGGGGATATTGTGCTCATGCGGTATTGTCTCGGTTTTTGTTCGCCTATCATGCTGCATTTCCGTGTAAACCGCCACAGGATTATATATATATTCAGCAGACTGTTCTGATACCACAAACAGCTACTGGGGAGAACACAGCGCAGGCATAGTTCGTCTTACAATGTTTTGGGACTAAAAATCAAGTATTGTAATGTAATGTAATGTATTGTGTAACACTACTTTGGCAGTAATGTATTGTGTAACACTACTATAATTAGGTCGTATTCGCGTATACGTGAGGATCCCGTCTATAGTTTTCACATGTATCAAAAAGGACAGACAGAAAGAGAGGCAATGGGCAATATTCTGACACAAATTTAAAGCCCAACAAGTAACGAAAACCGAACTTTTAAAAATAAATTAGCAATGGAATTTATACTCTCTCTCTCTCTCTCTCTCACACACTCTCTCTTACTCTCTCTCCCTGTCTCTTTGTCTTTCCCTTTGTGTCTCTCTGTCTCCCTTCCTCCCCATCTCTCTCTTTATCTCTCTATCTCTGTCTCTCTCTCAAATATTCCAAGGTATCAACAATATGTGATCACCAGTTCAATAACTAACACTGAAAGCGTGATATAGAACGTACCGGAGCACGAGTAGGGCCCCACACCTGCACAAAGGTGTAACAGTGCAGGCTATTTACGGAAATATCGTTTTAAAGCGGAAAATATCATGCTGCAACATCGGGCTTGCAACGACCTATAGAGAACCCTGGTGACGCCGTGTAGAACGCGCCAGAACGTGGCAACCATCTAGCACTGAGAGATTGGAAATGCAATGCAATTCAACCGCTCTTAAAAATTCCAATACTGCCCCGTAAACTTGACCCAGTGTTGTTTTGTATGGAATAAATTTGGTTAAAACCTCATTCAACCGAAACGTCTTGTCCTATGGTATTATTTTGTAAACCGTGTTAAGTTTTGTAAACAGTGTTCCCCCTCAGTGATACCCCTCGCGGGATGTTAGAGGGATACCCCAGATGAAAAAGTTTGATGATAAAAACCCACGTTGAGACATAACGAGACATTTTGTCGTTGATGATTTATCAATGAATCTGGTTCTTTGTATATTAATTATAAACAAGAAATCAAAGGTTTCAAACTTTCGGGAAGTACATTACATAGCTTGCACAGAATGCATTGCTACTTATGTATGATGAAACTTACTCCAAGGTTTATATTCCATACATTACTGGCAACTACATCTTTCAATCCAGGGGATTACCGTATGAAAACACAAAATCCTGTCAATCAAGTGAAACATAAACTCTCCCCACTCACTTCGGAATCCAAACATATCGACCTAACATGCATTGACGCCACCCAAAACAATACTTCCCTCCAAAAAAGTAACAAATGTAGACTGACGTTCACATGTGATAAAGTAAGACACAACTGCAATAAGAAAATCAAATCATTCCAAACGAAAACAATAAACACAAAGCTCGGAATTTAATTACTTAGCCTCCAGTCAACATACACTCAATTAACGGAGGGATAAATAATTAGTATGATCATTAATACGGGCGAAATAATCTAATACATCTTGATTAAAAGAATAAGTAATGTGTATGAAACACGACTGGGATATAGTGGCAATGAGAGAAGTTATTGCCCAACAGATGGCTGCTGAAACAAAGTGGATCTGAGAGATGCTACTGAGATTATGTTACTGATAACAACTATCGTATATAGTTAAAAATCAATCCAAAGTACAAGTACAGTTAGGCTAGACGAAGCAACTTATGCTTAGTCACATTTCCAAACCGGGGCCCGGCCGGGTAGTCATTTGGAACGAAAAATATGGTATAAAACGCAACAAAGCACAGAAAGGTTGAAAAATATCAACAATGGAACTATTTACGTATATTCTTTATGAAAATTGTTGATTTTTCGTTAAACGAAACAGCCCGGCCGGGCCCCGGCTTGGAAATGTGACCTCGGCATTAGAAAGTACTCAGTTCATTTTTCTCTCGATTTTGAAGTATAAATTTAACTTACGTTTTGAAGAGAACCTGGAACCGTATATAAACGTCAGAGCCTCAAAATAACAGGCTTAAACAACAACAACTAAAAAGGCCATCGATCAAAACACCACAGATTAATGAAAATATTTACAGCGTAAAGAATGCCAAAATACTACAATATCCTTAGGACATAGAAAGCGACTGAGCTAAATGCAATATCAGGTATCGACAAAGTAACGTGTAGTCTTCAATCTGTATGGAAATAGTACAAATACGTGTATGTATAGATTTTCCGTATTTCATGCAAATAACCTCCACTCTAAAGTCATCCAATGCAATTTTAGGACGGCCAAACAAAATATTTTAGGGGAGGAAACCTGTCTGATATTGACATTTACTGTCATTTTGTCGCACATTTTTGTCATCATTTCATACTTGAAGCGTTTGAAATAGTACATAGACGAGCCACGTTATGAGTATCTTTCTAATACCACCAATAAATAGCTAAAAACAGCCTACGATACAAAACAAGCAAGCAGCTTCCGTCAGCGACATCACGTTTTGCCTGACATCAGTATGCTATGGGATAGTATTGATTCAACTTACTACAAACAAAACTGATCTGAAAATTGACTTTGAAACTCCAGTTTTACTGTCATGAAATCGCTTTGGCTGCCTTTAAATCAAAGGCAACGCTGATTGTAATTGCCTAACAAGAAGAAGTCAAAC